TTTTTCTACTCTTTCCTGTCATGTGACTTTAATCACGTTTTTAATTTTCTCCACGTATACGACGAACTGTCTCAAAATCGCTTTTCTGTCATTATTTACTCTCTCGATCTTACCGATTCGATTCGACTCGACTCTACTCGATCAACCAACCAATACGAAAAAGAGACAACAATAGATGCGATACATTTGATATCAAAACGCGCACTTCGCGGTACACATGGATTTTTTTATACAGGAGAGAAAGATTGAGATAATTTTTCAATGTAAAAAGGTATCCTCTTATCAAAGCTACTCTGCGTTTCTCAGTTGCTACAACGCGGATAAAAACAAAACAAAAAAAAAAAAAAAACACGTTTCGCGAAACGAAATAAAAAATCAAAGTGCTAATTTGAGATGTCGGACAACAGAGAGACGTGTTTTATTCTTACGTGCCTCTCTCATTCTGCTTTTTTAAAACGGAATCAAGGGGAAGAGGTCGGCGAGACGTTCTTTCACAAAGCGAGAGCTGATGATCCGTACTGCTTTGCATAAAGATGAATAAAGATGAAGTGAAAGAAAAAGAGAGGAAGGAGGAAGCACTTACTTGAGCATCGGGTCGGATCTGAGTTTGTCGAGCACGGTGGTGTAGGGCACTCCGAGCACCCTGTCGATTATATGAACGAATCCGTTGGTGGCGGCGATGTTCGGAGTGATGATGGTCGCGTTCACGCCGCCGCCCTCCACGGTAACGACTTGATTCACTTGCGGCGCCTGCACCACGTTGAAGTAGAGCTTTTTCCTCTCGGCGGCGGACGCAACCTGCACAAAAATTCCAACAGTCGAAGCTCGTTGCGAGCGCGAGGCTCGCGCGACGCGCTGACTCCGTCTGTCGGTCGTGCGCGTCGCTTTTGTTTAAAAAAAAATATTGTCAGACAACCGGAAATAGAAAAGAGGGTGAGTAAAAAAAAAAAATATAGAGACTTTCGTACGTCTTTGAGCGCGGAGAAAATGCTACAAGAAAAATCAATACAAGCCGATTCGGGAGTCACGTGACTCTCGAATTGTTGGTGAGAAGCAGCTTTGAAGTAGTAAAATATTTACAAGATTAAAAGTTAGTAAACAATTTATAAAATGTTTAAATTGATTATTGTGTTTTTTTTTCTATACAGTTTACATATAAAAAAAGAGCCAAAAAGTTTTCTTTGTGATTGCCGAAAATCGGAACGCAAAGTCGAAGCGCAGAGAAAATCGAAGAGAAATTTCGCAAGTTGGCGAACATCGGAGAGGGGAATTCGTGCCTTTTGGAGAATCGGGCAAGTCGTGATTTCGTGCACAAACACGGGGAGAACGGCTATCACGTGCACACATTTAGAAGATCGCAGTTGGGAAGGAGACGGAGAATTAAAAGTTATGTGCGTTTTCGTGCTCGAGGAAAGGTGGAGCAAGCTTTCTTGCGCGCGAGAAGAAGAAGAAGATAGAGAGAACGAGGAAGCGGAAGTTTCGACGCTAGAGGTGCTAGTTTAAGATTGGATATAAAGTTCGCGCGGAGTTCGTCGACGATTGTGCGTGCACGCGCGAAATATCGACGCGTCAATAAAACATCGCGGAACATGTCCACGCCAAACAAAGTTGGCAAACAAATTTGTGTTTTCCTCGTTAGAGCCGTTACTTTTAATCACGTTTTCGCTGATTTTGTTTATCACGACGCGGGATAATTTCACGCGGAGGAGACACAAAGGGACACCGCCGTGTCGTCAAACGACGAATCTTGCCTTTGAGTCTCGGGTTGAGAAGTGAAACACGGAAATTGTGCTTGAAAACTAACGTGTTTATTATTCCGCAATTATGAGAGAAGACGTCAAAGAGAGAGAGAGAGAGAGAGAGAGAGAGAGAGAGAGAGAGAGAGAGAGAGAGAACCGCAACGCCGGCAATCTCCGGAAGAAATTCGCGAGTCGGGGGAACGTCGCTCGCGGAGTGCGCTTCCGAGTACGCGCGATCCGTTTTCTCAGACGAGAAATTTGATCTTAAGAGACAGCCGCGAGAAAAGGATTCACGAGGTCGCGCGCGCGATAGCGGATACGAATCCCTTCGATCCGCCGGATTATCCGGACGATGCGGCGTAACGTCGTGCTTTAGTCGGCACTGACTGAGCTTTAACTTGCAAATATCCCTCGGATTGCAAATCGGGCCCCGCCGCGTCGTCTCGCGCGCGTTTCTCTTTCTTTCCTCTTATTCGCGCGCTGATGTCGGGTACGGAAAGCTTCTCCTCGGTACGGTGCGGCGCAACCGATCTCTTTTCCCGGGTTGATCCAAGGCAGGTCTCATGAATTTTCCGGCGCGCACTCAGAGCCACTTCCGGTTACTTTTCTGACATTCATTCGCGCCCAAACAATCTCTCTCTGCCGTGAGAGACTGAAAAAGAGTCCTCGGGAGTGTCTCGGGAGGGAGGAAAAAAAACAGACACATTCTTTACCCCGACAACATTTTCGGAGGACGGTTTGTTCTCGCGGAAATTTGGTATCGATTTTCGTCGAGGTGAAATTGCGACGAGTAGAACTCCGGAGTATCGAAAAAGTACCTAGGGATAAAAAGATCAAAGGGATTCGCGGGAAAGAGAGAGAGACAGAGAGAACATCTTGTACGTGTAATTTGTTTTGCTATTTATTGAGATTTTTTCACGTGTTATCTTCTTTTTGCGCGTATTATTTCTCTCGGAAAAATATGTTTTAATCGTCGCAACGATAAATTCAAATAAAAAATCTCTCTCTCTCTCGCTCTAAGATACAAATTTATCTCAATATTTTTTTAGCGAAAAAATACATTTCCCGCGAATAAATAAAAACGTATTTGTACTCTCTGCGATTTAAAGGTGATGATCTGTTTTCCGCTTCGAGACGGAGCGCGCTTTTAATTTTTGATCGCATAGATAAAAGAAGGATTCTTTGAGGGATTCTCACGCTCGAGGATCAGCTCGCTCTTGACGAAGTTAAGGCAAACGTGCGCTTATCCACACAATTAATTATTCGCGAGCATTTAACCTTTCGATGCTCGTCGTTCTATCAATTAGCCGTGCCCGAAGTCATGGCCGAACTTTTGTTTGCACGGCCGAGCGATGTCGAATAAATTAATTATGAATGTATGAGTCGTGCGAGGAGAGGGGAAAAGAGGGAACGGAATAAATCACGTCTCCAAAGTAATACAGAAAGAGAGAAAAAACCGAAAAACGAACGCGACGAGAAAGAGAGATTGGAATTGATTTATTTAACGCGTTCTGGACTTTGAGAGAAGAAAAAAATCGGAGTGTCGTTAATACCGCGAAAAATTCGATCGAAGTTGGATTTGTATAAAATGGATTACGTCGCGATGTAAAATGAGTTGGCAATCCGAGAGACATCTCCGAGGGAATGTTTCAACGATTTTTTTTTTTTTTTTTACGCGAAAGAAACATCCGCGACATGTAAAAAAACACAGCGCCTCTGAACCGAAGTTGCCTTGTGTAACCGGAACAAAATGTTTAAACTAAAATATTTTAACGCGCGTTTAAAATATGAATATGGAACACGCGCGGGAAGATATATATATATATATATATATATATACGGGACGCGCGACCAGTTTCGCGGCGATATCGCGAATAAAATTGAATTTTACCGGAGGGCCCGGCGCGGTGCCCTCCTCTCTCTTCCGGGAGTGCTTTATCATTTCATCAGCGCGAGTACGAGTGGCTCTTCCGAAGCGAGAGGTCGGGGATAGAGGGGAGGGAACATAAAGCATGAAAGCGGTGTAAAACATATCTCGACGATAAATTAGTGCGCCGGCGGCGCGCACCGGTGTGCGTGCACGGCGCTTAATGCAAATCAAACCGGATAAAAAATACGAGGAGAACAGAAAGAAACGCGAATATGTCTGGGAAAGTGAGCGAGTAGCATCGTCGCGGAGGGAGGACGTCGCGACGATGCGATGAGGCGGTGCGTGCGTGCGTGCGTACGTGCGTGCGTGCGTGCGTACATGCGTGCGTGCGTGCGTGCGTGCGTGCGTGAGTGAGTGAGTGAGTGAGCGAGCGAGTTGATGCATGGCATATTTTTCCGCGGTGGTTGCTGTTTGCTTATCATATTCTCGGGACAGGAGTTATTAATTATTTCCTCTCTCGGCCCCGCGAGCTTAATGCAAATTGGCTCTTGTCGCGAGAAACGTAATAAACGTAAAAAAATTACGTTTTTTTGGTTTTTTTTTTTTAATCTTTGTTTTGTTTACTTGCTTCTCTCGGCGCGGACAGAAGATGCACCGCGGTCGAAATTCAAAATCGGTAATGACGACAGAGCGTGGTCGCGGAATTGACGCGACGCACAGGATGGGGAGGAGGAGAGAGACGGGAGGCTTTGAAACATCCTAATTCCGATCGGCGGCGCGTCCATGCGAAAATGTCACGCCGCGCAGAAACTGCGGCGCGGCGTTGTTTCCGATTAAGAGCGATTTACCTCCTTTGTTTGCTATGATTAATATATACACCGCTATACGCACTGCATTGAGGCTCGACAGGGGGTCAATATTGGTACGCACATCCGCGTAGCGCAGTAAATAACGGGGGCGATATTACCGGCGATCGATGCGCACGCCCCGTAACTACCAGCAATTAGCGAATCGAGTATTAGCGCACCTGTTCCTCTCGCGAGCGCGGCGCTTTTACGATAATCCGCATTTCGTAAATTAATTAATAATTTCCCCGCGCCGCGACCTATCGCTAACCCACGGCACCCGCTCCGAATAAGAGAATGATGAGTTTGAATCTCTCGTTTCGCGCTCCCGCGAATTTCACATCATGTCCGCGACTTCACAAAACATCGAAACGTCATTCACGTGCGCGGGCTTCTCGATTATCCGTAGTAAGTGCAACACACGCGATAATTTGTGCACATTGCGATGTGAAACCGTTTACCTCTCCTCCCCCCTTCCTTCCTCCGTCGTATCCTTGTTGGTACCGAGCGCTCGCATCGTTCGACCAAATGTTTATTTGTACTGATCGAACGTTAATTTATTAACGAGCGCCTATAGTAATTAAAGCTAACATCCTGTAACATCGCGGCGCGCTGCCGATGAATGATTGAAGCGGCTCGAATGGATATTGAAGTGTAATTAGTACTGGTATCGGAGATTTCGCTGTAATTGCGTTCATTCGGATCGGGAAATCGACGCCGCGCCGATAGCCGCGCGAGTTACACGCCGCGCGCGATACAGATAGATTTGTAGTCGTCCCGCGTGCACGCGCTACTAGTTGTAATTTATTAATTTTACAGAACGACGCGCGCGTGTTCTCCATCTCTCTCTCTCTCTCTCTCTCGTCGATCATCGTCGGATGACTCGTAAGTCACCGATGATCGGGTTTCCAATTTCAGACTCGGGAAATTGATGCGCGCGCGATCGGTCACTCGCGAGGATTCTCGCGGACTCTGAAGCCCACGAATTGGGAATTGCCGTGCAATTTAAAGAGAGAGATAAAAAAATTTTTTAAATACAGAAACGCCGATTCGACTTTAAAGCGAATTGTATTTGTTTTTTCTTTCCTACGGAAAATCGACACTCTTGAAAAAACTTGCACTTTGTTGCAGTTCTCGGGTTGCGAAACTTTTCTTATATACGGAAAGAGAGAGAAAGAAACACATACATACATACGCACACACACAAATATCTGCGCGCGTCGCGAACTTCATCGATTCATATTGTGCGAACGCGACCTATTAATATTCATTGTTATTTCAAGCTCGGAAATGGGGAAAACAAATTAGATTGCCTTCGCTCGAGACTCGCTCGGTTGGGAAACGTTTCCAAAAAGGAATTTCTATCTCTCTCTCGCTCCCTCGCGCGTCTATATCTCGGGGAGTTTGTGCGCTGAAATCAAATTCCCGCGACCCCAAGCCCGGAGATGCGAGTTCCGGGAGAAACTTGAAGAGCGTAGCAACGCGAAGCCGCAGGTTTGAAATAATACATATTATATCGGAAAAGCAGTCGCGGCTATGGATGTCGCGCGATCGACCGCGGAAGAGAACGCACGGAATGTAACGACGTCTTTCTCATCGGGGAGAAAGAGCGACGAGGGGAGAAGAAACGTCGAGGGGGAGAGAAGGAAAAGAGCGCGTCGCGAAAGCATCGCGCGACGCTGTTTTTTTCGCTCCGTGAGTTTTCCCTCAGGATATTAGACGCTACCAGTTTCCAAGACGCTCGCATAACGTATTCCGCGAAGTAAGAAGAGACTTTGTCGCCCGACGATACTCGATTATTCTGTTTTACAGTTCCACCATTTATTTAAAACAGGACAATACTACAATAGCGATAAAAAAAAAGTAAGTAGATAAAAGTATTTTTAAAAAAAAGTATCTTTAAAAAACTGCTACTTTGGGAAACAGCAAACTTGTAAAATAAATCTCTTTTTTTTTTTGCCCTTAACAGTATTTTCAAATTTTCCCGCCACAGTATTCAATTATCAAATTAAAATTGCGCGTCAATTAAATTTTCATGGAAGTTCCTTGAAACAAAAAATCTCTCAATCTGGAAAACTGTAAACTTCATCATCGCGTTTCTTTCACTCGTCATCGGTGTCATTCGTTTAAAACAAAAGTTAAATTGCTCTTTGCGCGAATCTCTCTTTCTCTCTCATGAATATTAACGACATGGATTAATATATCCGATTCCAATATTATGTTCGTTCATTTGAAAACTGCAACCTGATATCGCGCGCGGACAGGAATTTCCATCGCAATGGCATACCATCGACGTATTTTCCGATCGAACATTTGCGTGATGCGATTTACCCGGGGATTCCCTGTCTCTCTCTTTCTCTCTCTCCCTCTCTCTCTCTTTTCCCGCCCTTCCCTCTCCCTCCTTTTTTGTTTCATCTTTCTCTCTTTCCCGCATAGGCGCAATCGGCCGGATATGATTTTTCACCGCGGATTTGCGCGAGACACGTCGCGCACCCTATAAATTCGGTAGTGCGTACAGATAACGGGCAAATCTGCGAACAATGTTGCAAAGCCAATAAACTTGTTCGAATCCCATTCGAGAACGTTTCACGAAAGAATTTATCGGCTTTGCGCGAGAATTATTCCAGTTGCCGCGCTCCCTCTCTCTCTCTCTCTCTCTCTCCTTCTCTCGCCCTTCCCCTCCCTCTTTTCAGGAATTCATAGTTGGAAAAGAATGTGCCGCCGCGCGCGTCCCATTTTCTCTCCCTTCGCTCTTTTAACGCGCGGAAATATTCGCGGCCCGGAATATTTCCCCCCCCCCAGTTTACAATGAAACACACGCTCCCGCTAATAACGCGGATAAGATTAATGTTCAACAGATCGCGCGCGCGCGTATTGCCGAGACGAGCGATCGCGTGTCTATATGTTGACTTTCCCGGCGCATCTTGATTGCGATATATTTGCCGGTACTATACTCTTGGCTTGTAATTGAGTTCTCGCGTGCGCTAACGAGGAGACCCTTTTCGCGTATACACACGCGCCGAAAGTGCTCGACGGCGAAAGATATGATTGATAAGAGAGTAACGACATCGTACATGCGATTTCATTTGTTAAATGTCAGCGCGCAACGGCGAACGACGATCAAAATCCATCGGAAGAGATCGTTTGGAGAAAGCGATTACACACGCGCGCGAAAGTTTATAATAAGAATTAATGACGATACTTAACTCCGCGCGATTCTCGCGGCGCGAAAAGAGCGGCGCGTACAAACGACCGTTTCTCTCTCTTTCTCTCTCTCTCTCTCTCTCTCTCTCTCTCTCTCTCTCTCTCTCAAATGAGAGGACTTCGCAATCTCGTTCGCGAAGTAAGTGAAGACGTTTCCCTCGCCCCGACGACGCGCTGTAAAAATAAGCGAAGGCAAATACGCGCGCGAGAGGGAAAGGAGGTCGCGGAAGGAATAGAAAAAATAGAAAAGGAGGAAAAGAGCCGGCGGAAAATTGCCGGGAGCTTTTTGTTATTCCGACGAAAAGTTTCGCCATGCTGATTGGATGATAATGAGCCTCGAAAAGTGCGAAAACGAACCGGTCGACTTCGCGCAAAGTTTAAGAATGGAACAGCCTCGGCGCGTTGTTATGACGTCAGACACTCGCGCGTCGTCTCCCGAGAACTTTTTATCTTCCAATCCACTTAATCCGAAGGAAGCCAAGAGAGAGAGAGAGAGAGAGAGAGAGAGAGAGAGAGAGAGAGAGAGAGAGAGAGAGAAAGAGAGAAAATTCTCTTCGTCTTATCGCGCGCGTCCAGGTGAGACGCTTCGCTTTCGCTCGGAAAAAAGAAACTCGACAAAAATACGCAATTATCGTTACATCGTATTGCCGGCGAAACGGCAGAAATCCATTCCGCGGCCTGTCGACCTTATCCGCAATTTTATTCGAATCGCGCGATTTTCTTCGTATACGGGAGGGAGGGTCGACGAAAAAGTCGAGAGAATTCGCGAGAGATATTTTTGCGAACGCGCGCAATTCGTTTCCACTATTTCGATGCGCGTGATGCGTTAAAAAAAAAACCAAAAAAAAAAAAAAAAAACAAAAGACGGACAAAATTTTCGCGCTATCGAGTGTCAAATTCGACGCGTCGAGCTGTGAACGCGACTTTCCGGTCACCACGTACGTCGTGTATCGCGGCAAGAATAGAAATCTCTCTTTGGCGTTCGATTACTAAAGCTATTGGCGGGGACGAGATTTATTGACGCTATCGATTGCCCTCTGCGCGCGGGAGGAAATAGGGGGGGGGGGGTAGAGTGCGTTAGCGTTGGGGGGCAACTGTTGGCTTGCATTCGTATTTCGCGCTCGTAATACGTTCAACATCGAAAAAAACGCAATATGGAAAAGCGAACACACATATATACACACACGCGCGCACATACACAGTGCGAATGGGAATGCAGAGATATAGAGATAGTTTGCGTAGTAATAGTTTTTGAGCAATAATAAACACACTGAAAGCTTGTGTATGAATCTGTAATTACCCCGAGCTGTTGCCTCATTCCCATTGGTTTCTTTGTGGAACAATATATAAAAAAAAAAATAAAACACAAAGAGTTAATCAACATGACAATACACCTTGACGCGCAATTTTCGTTCACGGGAATTTGTTCAGGAAAAGAAAAGTTCTTTTCTCCCCGAAACGCACAGCCGCGTTTGGTTTTTTATCCGCGCGTTTCCTCTTTATCCTTTTTGTTTTTTTCTTTTCAAACGAAAAAACGTTCGATGAAAAGTTTCGTTTCTCATAAATGTATGATTGAAACGTACGCGGAGAGATGAATCTTCACGATTAATAATATCCTTCGCTCGAGTAAACTATGTACGATGGAAAGTTTCGCGATATATAACAGAGACGGAGAACGCAAATTCGTATATTTTCAGAAACAATAGATTTTAGTGAGAAACACACACAAGTGCGAACGGTGAACAAATTGTCTGTTGTAATATCACACGCGTTAGAGAGAGAGAGAGGGAAGATGTGTGTACTTACGGACTGGCTGCCGGTCTTGTCCTTGATCTTGTCGAGTGGCAGTCGCTCTTTGACGAAGTGCAGCTTGAGGATCTCCTTGATGCGCTTCTTGTCCTGCAGAATCGGCTTCACGCTCGGCTGCTCCAGCGCGGCGTTATTGGGCGCGAACAGGGTGACGTCGCGCAGATGATTGATGGTGGCCATGATGTCGTCCCCGTGATCGCGAATGATCTCGTAAAACTTGTAGACCGGTCCGTCCTCCTTTTCCTACACGGAGAGAAGAGATTTCTGTCGATCGGTCACTCAGTGCTTGCCGCGCCTCGCTTTCTACAAGGAGCGGGGTGTGTGCGCTCAAAAGGGAGGATAGACGAGCCACAAATGAGAAAAAATCAAGAGAAAAACATACAGAAAAAGAAAGAAAAAAACGGTAACGCAATGATTGTTTGCGAAAGGAGTCGATGGGCGTCCAGTTTCGGGACTCGTCGACGTTCCATTGCCAATCGGACGGCGTGGTATGGCGCGACGGTTTCTTCTCGGAGAGATTAAAGGGATGTAACGGAATTTACATGAACCACACCACGAATCTGGACGCCCGTCAGGGATTCTCTTCGCGGAGAGAGCGAAGAAGAGAACACGAAAAGCGAGAAGGGGGGAGTGGGGGAAATAAGAAAAGTTGAAGTAAAGAAACCGACGGAAGTAGTTGAGGGAGGAGAGAGGGATGGGAAGAGAGAAGTCAGCGAGCGGCGGAGTTCGCGAAGTTGAGCTTCGCGAGTTTTCGTTACGTCTTCGGGCGTTTCCACAGGAGTTTCCGTAAATTGATTCTCGTGTATTCGATCGCTCGCTATTTTCGCCGAGAGAAAGCTGTGTGTACTTCTTGCGAAAGCTTTACAGAACTTATTGAGCTCCCATACGCGCGCTCGTGAATAATATCTGGACGCGAAAAGCAAAAAAGAGAAGAGAGAGAGAGAGACAGAGAGAAAGTGGAAAAGAGAGAGAGATATATATATATATGCGAAACCCGCATAATCTGGAAGAATGAGATCCTTTGTGGGAGGCGACAATTGCGCCGGCGGGACGCTAAGAGATTCCCGAGAGATCGCTTAAAATGAAAAATACTTGAAATTCAGAGGGCTGGTCGGCGCGAGGATGGAACCGTCGCAATTAGCCCGGCGTAACGAACTTGAAGCCCTACCCCTCCCTTCCTATCCCCTCCTCGGTGTAACTCGCGCCGCGAAGAAGACGGAAATAAATTACTCGCGGAAAAGAAGACAAAGTGTAAGGAAGAAGAAAGCGTGACGTAGGACGTGACCGTTAGTGGTTTCACGGAAGTGGCAACCGTTACGTGACACACATAATTCCGTCGTCCAAATCGTCCGGAATGCCAATTGAGCTTCTCCCGCACGTGCCGGAGAAAAGATCACGCGACGTGATTAAATATATTTCGAAAATTATTTGTGAAGATTCGAGTGAGAGAAAAAGAGAGAAGCAATTAACCTGCGCCGCTCTCTTGAACTGAGATGATACAAAAATCATAGAAGAGAGAGCGGGCACTTTAACTGAGTTACAGATAATATATTTAAAAATAACAAAATGTAATTCGATTAATTGCTGAAACAAAAACAAGATCGGAGAAGTAAATTTGAAATAAAGTTTTTCGCACGCGCGCGTGATCTTTTTCCGACAACACGAAAGAGAAAAACAACAATAAACGTAAAGCGCGAATTGCCGACGTCAAACTCCGACAAAAATACGTTTGAGTCGCCAGCTTTTTAGTGCGAAAAAAAAGATTAAAACAATACGTTGTGTTATCATTCTCGAGAAGGAAACGGCTCCGGAAACTTGTTAATTCGCAATCCGGTTTAAAGGTAAAACTTGAAAACGAGTCTCAAAAATTTCGCAAAAAAGTCGAGCTCATTGTCAGTTGCGAACAATATACCCAATTTAACTTGTTCCGCGAGTGCGCGCGCTCGCGCTTAAAAAAAAACAAAAAACAAAAAAAAAAACAAAATCTCCGCGACTATTTTCTACCGGAATTACCGCGCGGGTACGACGAGAAACGTGTGTTAAAACTCCTCTCACAACTCAACGGGGAACAATTAGAGAGACAGATGCGTGCTATCTTTTTAAATATCTTAGAGCAGATAGGGAAGAAAGCGCGAAAGGTTTTCCCGCGTGTGCTCTTTCGAAAAACACCCGCTGCGTTTGTTATTTGTTGTCGTGAAAAAGAAAAAAAATCTGGCGGATCGGAAACATTTCGAGAAGTTGGAAAATAATACCGAGAGTCATAAAACCGCTTTCTCTTCTCGTACCGGATCAGATTACACGGCGGGTGGATGAAAAAAAAAAAAAAAAAAAAAAGCGGAAAGGTAATTAACGAGGCGGCAGTTAGCTATTCGCTCCCTTCATCCTCCTCTTCCCGCAGCTTTGACGCGAAATCTCTCTCGGTGTGTTCATAGACGAGCTTAATGAGAGAGAATGAACCGGAGAAAGGGTCGGAAAAAAAGGATGGAGACTTAACGCGGCGAAAAAATAGCCGACAGGACGAAGGGTGACTTCGAGGAAATAATAGAGAACATCGCGAAATCCGATCTTCGCGCGCTTAGTTTTGGGATTTTCTTGACGTGCGCGGCGCGAACGCGAAAAAGAGAAGCGATTTTTTCTCGGATCTCTGTTTTTTTTTTTTTTTTTTTTTGTCTAAAAATGCTTGTTGCAAAACATTAAAATTGAAACACGCAAAATTGAAGGGAAATGTTTGAAAAAAAAAAAACAAAAATTTATCTCGACTCTCTTTCGAAAATCCTCCTGTTTCGATCAATGGGATCTTTTTGTCGCGGCACGCGAGTGCAAAATTACACGATCCTCTTTCGCGCGGGTAATATTACTAAAAGGACGGGGGAAGTTTATGCATCCTCAGGTTAGAACAACATCGGCTTTTCGTTTCGCAGGAGGAAAATCCGCGGAAGTCATTTCTCCCCTTTTCCGCGTCCGCCAAATGCCGTCGGCATTTCCCTTGTGGCACAAATCTCTCTCTTTCCACATTCGTCCTCTCCTCCCCTCATGTACCACCCCACCTATTTATTTCGCCTTCCTTCTCACACTTCCTTTCGTTCGTTCCTTTTTTTTTTTTTTGTTTTTGCTCGTTCCTCGTTAATCTCTCTTTTGCAGGCTTCGAGGTTTGAAGCCGACGGGAACGGGGAGGAGGAGGGGGGGAGGAAAAGCCGGGAACGGAAAAGAGGGATTAACTAGGCATCTGAAGGCGCTGTGGGGGAAAAAATATTGACTGGAGAGAACTAGAAAAGAAAGATCAAACGCACACCAAAGGAAAGAACCCATATAGAAAAAAAAAAAAAGTGACGGGCGTGAACAAAGAGGAGAGAGCAAAATCCGTAAAACGAAACGGTTTCGATCGGCTTTGTCGTTTCGACCGGACTGTCTGTCCGTACGGAGGGGGGGGACGAGTTTAATAAACGACACGTCGCTACTGCTATGAGGATTTTTCCTATATATGTCAGGATAAATTAATAAAACATGTAGAAAAAGAGGAAGTGGGTGGGCGAAAGAGGGCTCGCCCGCGGTGTGTGCGGCGGAAGATTAACAGGAGCTGGAAGAGAGCACACCGGTCTCTCTTCCGCGATTTTGAAATCGGCATATCGATCGGCGAAGACTCGTTCCTCTGTGTTTTTCACCGTGTTTTCACCCCTCCGCGCCGATTCTTTTTTTTTGTATTCAGAGCATCGAATCGTGAAAAGCTCGTATACGTGTCGACCAAGTTTCCGAAGCAGAAATACATCCCGAGTGCAGTGCAGTCTCGAGGATGAGGAAGAGGAGCAGCAGCAGCAGCAGCAGCAGCACGTACTCGAGACTTCATCCCGCGATCTTGAGAAAAACTCTTCGTTTCGCGCTGCTTAATTATTCCAAGAATTTCACAGACAATTAGCGCGAGCACAAATCAACAAATTGGAGATCGAAATCTTATTATTGTAAGAAAAAAATTTCAAATTGCATTTAGCGTCTGTGCGACGATTGTATCTTTTTATTTTTCTCCTCATCAGCTCATCGTTTAATTTTATTATCAAATTGAAACGCTCCGTCGCGTTTCTTCCACATTTTGTTTCTTTTTTATTTTTTTTATTTCTACGTAACGACTTCAATTTCCGTCCGGCGGCGCGAATATCGGAATACCCGATGGTATTCGTTTCGCTTGCGTTTCAAAAACTGGATCAGCGGAACGAGATTCCTCGATCGCATATAACAAACGACCCGGACACGTCGTCGCGAAGACGATCCGGGAACTTTCTACTACTTTTGTGTGTACATCTAATAAATATTTTCGAGGATCAAATGATCCGCGCGGTTTTTCTGGATGCTGTTACAAAGAGAAAAAAAAAAGTGTGCGATTATAATAAATCTCGATCGTCCGGCGAGAGAATTTCGAAATTTTCCGAGATTCTCAAAGTTCTCGGGGAAAATCTTCCCCGATTTGCGAGCGAGAAAACATTACATCTAAATACATCCAGGGATCAAGCGATCCGCAAGTCTCTCATCCAAGGATCCGGGGACACGGGGGGAGGGGGGAAGATCCGGGAGATCTTCCGAGAATCTCCGCGGGTGTCCGGGGATCGATGGATTTTCGCGTGTTGTGTGTTTCTATTATCCCCGACCTTTCTCGGGCCGGGGCGGGATTGTAAAGAAGTCTGAATAAGTGTCGTGTGTATTTTTTTTTTTTTTTTTTTTTTTTTTTTTTCTTAGTACGCAGTAGTCTCGTGACGAGAGTTTTCGATTTAAGTAAGTACTTACGATGCCCTATACGACATGCAGAGTCCAATAGAGACATGCAAAGCACCACAGAATAACATCATTGAGTCAATATAAGAATAGTAAACACATATATACAATTGATCAAGAAAAAAACAAATTAAAAAAAAAAAAAAAAACAATAGAGAGAGACCGTATTGAGGGGAGCGGGGGAGTTTTGAGAGGGTAATCACGCGCGAGACTCTACTTTTTTTTTTTTTTTTTACCCTCTCTGGACCAGCAGCGGCGACGGCGGCGGCGACGGCGGCAGTTCCGCGAGTCCGAGAAGAAGAAGAAGAATCGATCTTCCGCTCGTTTCTGTACGGAGGACGTGTAGCAGCAGTTCGAAGCGCGCGTTTTCCGTCAGCAAGAAAGATTGATTACGCTGGATCTTTTTTTTTTTTTTTTTTTTTATCGTTATCAATTATTAAAATTGTGAGCGGAAATCGACGTCGATCGATCGATCGACCGACCTGGTTGCGAGCGTTTTAGCGACGTTCTCCGTTGTCACGGCGCGTTGTTGCGGCGCGACGCAAAGAGTTAATTAGTCACTGATTACAACGAGCAGTCATTTGCAATTGCGATTAATCGCGCGAGCGCGAAACGCGTCTCCTCGACGCGAATTGCCCCTCGACGTGCGAGCGATTTTTCGATGGCGGGTGGTCCTCCGGCGTATTGTAAATTACAAGTCGAGATTATCAGCGAGTAATTAATAGAGGGCCGCGGGAATTTAGTGCGCTCAATGCGCGCGCGGCACACCCCGGACGGGGCAATTACGATAAACGTCATTTCGCATGAAAACGCGACGGTATCGCGCGTCGCGCGCGAACGTTGAACAACGATATCATCGTGAGTAATGGCAAGACGAGACGGCGACGCCGCCGCCGCCGCCGCCACCGTCGCCGTCGCCCGCGCGAGTGTACGCGTCGCGGAAAATTTCGGTCGTTTCGCTAATTGTGATCTATGGGGGATCCTCCGGGATCCTCTATCGGGACTCTCTCGTGGACGTTCGCGAATGTTACATACACACACCGCGCGTTTCCCTCCGCGTGTCGAGCGCGAAGGGAACCAAAAAAAAAGGCTGCAACGAGATTCAAACAAATATTTTCACAAACTACATCGTTCGAAAATCAAAGTCGATCCGGGGTATTCCAAGCGATTCGGGATCCGAAAAATCCCTTCGCGCGTTGGAACTCGGGATCCATAAAAAAAAAAAACTCGAGGATTACACTTTTGTTTGTTTTTTTTTTCTTTTTGCAGTTTTTACAGTTAAACTATGGAGTAATTGTGGACGACCCCCCCGAGAGAGAGAGAAAGAGACGAACACACCGGCACATCCGGGAGTTTATTTTCTCAAGAAATTTCGCGTCGACTTTTCCTCGGCGTGGAATTTAAGAGAAAGAGAGTGGGAGAAAAAAAACCGCTCGACGCGAAAAAGGCTCCTTTAATTTTCATTTTTCCGAATGACTCGGAAATTAAGCCCCGGGATTATGTGTTTGCCGAAGAAAAATGGACTCGGAATTACTTGCGGGAATAATATTCCCACGGCCGGGTACGCATCTTTCTCGGGGATATTTTTTTTCTTTCTTTTTCTTTTTTTTTTTTTCTGTAACACATATAGTCATATATTATATACATACGTATATATATATCTATAGAGCGATAGATTGTAGGCGTGATGAGATGATTTCGAAAAAGGTAGATGAATGGTAACAGCGTTCATGAATCGAATGCACTGATAAAAAATTATGTCGCGTGAGAGAGAAAGATAGAGAGAGAGAGAAAGAGATCGCGGCTGTGGCCGTTAAAAGATGAATGTCGCGATGAAGAACGACGGTATCGTGATCTGTGAGAATCGTGGGAAACGCGGCTTTCCTTCGAAAGTTTATGCCTTCACGAAGCACGCAAACACACACACACATACATACGCACGCACACACACATACACACACACGCACGCCTCAAGGAGAAAGTTTTGCCCCCCGCTTCGCTTATAAATCTCCGGGTATCGCGCGCGACGAGGCGAGGCGAAGTAATCTGTCTATAAATAACGGCAGAACGGATATCTCTCGCGTTGTGCTTTTTGTCATCTTCTCCGCATTTCTCCCGAGAACGGCAAAGACCGGCACTTAGAACCGATCCTCGGTGTCGCTCGGAAATCGATTCAACGAGACCGTTTCTCGGCTATTCCCTGGCAAATTGTTATTCAGCAATTTATCGTTTTATCGCGTATTGAAATGTTTGAAGTTTTGTTGCTCATAACGATGAGACGTAAGTTTCTCGGAAAAGCGGGGCGCAAAACTTGGCTGACGCGTGCGCGCGCGTTGTGTGTGTGTGTGTGCGTGTGCGTGTGTGTGCGTGTGTGTGTGCGTGTGCGCGCATGTATTTAAATGACGTATCGGTGCTCCCGGTCTTCGACAGCATGCGACATTCATGGAACTAACAGTCAATCGCTAGGCAGTGCAACGTGCAATATGCAACTGTCGCTAATAAAACACTAAACTTTTGCGAGGAAGATTTTTCGCTTCGGTAACGTTCTGTGAAGCAGTCGCCGTAAAGAAAAAAAAACGAGGGCTCTTGAAATGTGTCGCACACGCGCGTCGTGTGTAATCCACACCGCGTCGGATAATACGCGCCTTGAAAATGGAATTTTTACAATGCGTCCAAAGCGCTGACATCTCAGGCGGCAAAAGTGGCGCGCGGAGGAAAAACACTTTCCGCCACAACAACGACGACGACGACGACGACGACGACGAAGACGAAGGTCGTCGCTTCATCGCGCGGAAGGTTACTTTGGTATTTCGCGAGAAAAAGACCGGCGCTGTTTGTTTGTTGTCAAAGCGTAAAAATGTGGAGTATAAGCGCTCTAAGTGACACGGTCATCTCCGCAGCAGCGCGCATGCATTTCGATCGAATTTTTGTAATTACATCCGCGTGTGAAAAAAACACTCGGATAAAAAACCTGACGTACGGAGGATCTCAAGAAAATGTCGTTGTCTAATTAATCTTCCTTGCAAGAGACAAAAGAACTGTGCATTCTCAGCAGGCAGCTGGTAATTTGTTACGAGCGCTGTTTCCAAGTCATCAGTCAAAAACGTGACAAAGCACGCACGTGACCAAAGATCGTTTTACATCTCGTCTCGCTTTTATCGCTTCTCTGTCCAAAGAACAGACAATTGGGGTCAAAACCGTCGATGCGGCTGGGTTTTCAACGTAAATTACAGGGCGCGATCAAACTGATCAGCACTGATTTTCGCGATCCCATCGAAGAAAAAAATCAAACATCCGAAAACAAAAAACTTTTACAAACGACGTTCGCTACGATCGACAATTCGATTAAACGACATTCAATCGGTCGGTTGTCCGGTTTAAATTAGAGACCGGACGAGAGATACATCAGTACTGATTCTCGCGTTGATTTTTATCGCGCGTCAAAACGGGGGAGAGGAGGGAGGGAAAAAAACAAGTCGCTGAAAAATAAAACCGAAACGAAAGAACGGAAGAGAGAAGGTCGGCGCGCGGGAACGGCTCTGCGAATTCAATCTTCATCAGAAAACCCATTACAAGAACGCGCGCGCGGGGGAGAAAGGGGGAGGGGGAGGACAAAATTCCACTCGTAAATCCTTTATCGTCGCCGCAACCGCGCCGGACGGAAGGGATCCTTCCTAAATCCCACTCGATCTCCTCGCGTTAGAAATCTAAACTCGATATATCACAGTAGACGCCGTTGTACATTATTAGACGCGGCCGGAGGGTCAGTCGTGGCGCGGCTTCGGGGAACTTGCCATCGATTTACGGGAGAGTGAGACCGGATCGCGCGAACCGACCGACCGACGTGCTGAGAAAGAGTTTTCGTCGTAACCCTTCGGCTTGAAAATGCGCACGTCGCTATACACTACTCGAAGTCTTGATGGAGAGAGAGAGAGAGAGACAGACTAAACGTTTAACGCCCGCTTTTAAGACTCCCGTAAAAGCCACGCAACAGAAGCAAGCATGCGGCACTACTACGTTTACTCTTTACTAACCGTCCAAGTGACTGCGTTACGGCCCGACGTTATATTCCGCAAGACGCGCGCGACACGCCCGCTCGGCGCTCAACGACACGTCGCGGCGCGCTTTACGACGATCTTTACTACTTATATTCTCGAGAGCGCGCGTCCCGGGATGTATTTTCTTCCCGCGCGCAACTTTCCGATCTCGTCTTGACGCGAATGCGAAAATAACGCGAGGTGAGATTCTATATTTTTTTAAATTTTATTGCACGTTGTGTAAGAACGACAACGCGGCGGATTGACGTTTGAAGGATTTTTAGTGGATTTTCACGCGTGTCGTTCGCGAAACGATTGAAAATGACTAATGTATATCGCGGTTTTATATTCTCTCGGCTTTGTCCCCCGGAATAAAAAAATCGCCCTTTTAAAAGCTCGCCCGCGGGGTATATTTACACGCGCTCTTGTTCGTTTTCCGGATTATTAACGCGTCATTAGCGCTCGTGTTCATTGTCCGCGTTGGGGAGCCGCGACACATGCGCGCGCGGGAGACACGCGAGTTGCACGCGATAAAAACAAAAAATAAAAAAAAAAAAAAAAAAGAAAGGAAAAACGAGCGCGAACACGTAGATTGGCCGTGTGATTGATCGCGAATAAAGTTATTAATGACGCCGGTCGATTGTCGAGCGTGTTTGCAACCGAGCGAAACTCGACTCGCGTTATTCTATCCTAAACGGGCATGCCGATTTAATTACGCGCGTTCCGCGCGCAACGGTGCGGATTTCAATTTTCGGTTTAAATTTTCAATTGTTGCGGAAAACGTTAACCTTATCAAAACCCGAAAAGGAAGTGCGCACACAGGATTAAAATACGTTAAAACGCTAATCCGCTTTAAATCGCGCGCGATCGATTATTTTATAAACGCGAGAGACGTGACCACCAACCATCGGCCCCCGTGATGTTATTTTGCGTTTAATTTCGCAAGAGACTATCCATCTATCCCTTCCTCCCGGGGCCCCGGTCGATTCGCGCGAGCAGATCGCGTCGCGGATTAATATCCGACAATTTTTCCGAGAAAAAAAAAAGAGAGAACAGATATCACCGCGATTCCGTTTCCGTCACGAAGCGGAGAAGGAAAACGTCCCGGAAAACTTGCCGGCGAACTTTCTTACATTCGACCGGACGCCTTTCTTCCAAGATAAAGCCACTGTCGACACGCGGCAGCGGCTCCAACAAGGCGACGACGACGACGACGACGACGGGCGGTGCTTGCGCATTCCCTTCTTCTCTCTCGATGAGGTACGATTCTCCCGAGAAGGAGAGAGCCTGAAATTTACGACGCTTGTTTGGCGCGCGCGTCTTGTCTCTCTTCGCGGAAAACTCTCGCGCGCGAGAAGGAGCTTTCGTCGGTTCTTTTTTTTTTTTTTTTTGTTTTTTGTTCTCTTCTTCCCGTTGCGGCATATTTCATTTCCCCGAGACTTTCCGTTTTCTTCGGCGCGACGCGCACGACGACGACTACGACGACGACGGGAGGAACCCACGAGCTTCCTTTAGGATTGTAAATGGCAAAACGACCGCGCGCGTTGAGTAATGAATCCAGAAGGATTCTCGTTTCGGATGGCAGACAATCACTCAGTCCTCCCCCTTCGAACGAGGGAGTGGGACGAGGGGAAAACTTAGAAATCTCGAAACACAAACACTTTCGAAGTTTCCAGGAGAGAGATCCGAGAAGATCTCGGATTTCGACTGAGGTTACAAATCGGAAATTAAGAGAAAACTTTTTATTTTTTATCTCTGTAATATAACAATTTGTTTTTTTTCACACACTTCGCAAGGAAACTCTATTGATACTGTGTGTGTGAGAGAGAGAGAGAGAGAGAATTGCCGACATGCAGGTGTCCGTGTGTGTGGCTGTACACGCGCATGTGTTTATGTTTGTAATGTGTGTGGTTGGGTTTTTGCACATCTAGACTAGGTTTTGTTTTCGTTAACACTCGCATATCCCGCTATCTAACATGCGTTTTTTTTTCTACGAAACAACATCTCTGTGATGTGCTCGCTTGTGCGTGCGTGGTATTTCGAGGGTGCAACCGTGGTGCAAGGCCGGGAGAGAGGAAGGAAAGAAGGGAGAGGGAGAGAAAGGGCGAGGGCGACTTTCTCCCTTCGGTTGGGGAAAACTTCGGTAAGTGGTTCAAGGCTGACGTGACATTTCGAGGTAAAAATATATATGAAATGCGAAAACACATGACTGACAGTATATATATAACGGGAGGGAGGAGGTTAATAATAGATGTGTTTTTATCGAGTGATCGTAAACGCGTGAATAAATTCCTCTTTGAGAAAAATACAAAGTATTAATAGCCCCCGGGGTTTTTCCGATGTTTCATGCGCTCTCTAACGAAAAATATCAAAGTATTAAAAATAAATAAACGTCAATAATAATTCCGCGCGCGTTATTTTGCGCATAAATTTGTGCCGCAGCGTCACACACACACACACACACGCGCGCGCGCGCGCGCGTAACACTGTTAATTGACGCGCTGTTTCTTGATTAAAACTGTTTTCGATTGATGCGCGCGCGCATGTGATACCAACCGATACCATTTCCGCATCGAAAATTTTATCGAAAATATGTATAACTCTATTGTATCGAGTAACAACCGACGAGCAACAACTGTTTAACCACCGACGTGTATCAATAATTTAAGCCTCGAAATTAAAATCGCGGCTGAGCAGTTGCAATTAATCGGAGAGGAGGGATTAAAATTCATTTGTTATTATTTTCCCCGGTTTAATTAAGCTTGCCGGCATAATGGTAAATAATTTCTTAATGGTGTCGCGCAATCGCTATTGTTTTCTAGATTGGTTGTTAATATTTACAACGCATGCGCGCGTTGTGTGTGGAAGAGAGCGCGTTATTTTAATTCAAGCGACATTGCGTGCGCGTTAAAAACAACGCGCATGATAGTCGTAGTTACCTAAATTAACAAATGGCCGTAAGAATAGCTTATCAAAAAAACAAAACAAACAAACAAACAAACAAACGTGTTGCGCCGTTGTTCTCGAGCTCACCCTCCTCGTTACATTCTTCCCTTCCCTTCGTGTTTTACTTGCGTTCTAAAACTTTCATGAAAGTAATCCACGCGCGAGCGTTAACCCGCAAGTTATTCGTCCATTAAACCGCGCGTAAAAAAGTCAACGATTGAGCAACGTTCGCGCGTAATTTTCCAAAGCTTGGCACGCCGCGAAGTCGGCGCCAAATTCGATTCTTGGCTCCTCGACAAAATTCTCTCTCTCTCTTTCTCTCTCGCTCCCGCTTTTCCGGCGCGCGTTCGTTTTATAAAAGCGAACACGCCCAGAAAAATTATCGTTGCCGATAATAAATACGTTCTCCGTAAACAAAATTTATGTCCAATAAATTCTTATCGCGCGCGATCGAGGATAACAAAAATCTCTTGCCCCACTTTATTATTTCATCACGTTATTCGTTTTAATCCACCGATTCATCGGAGGAAGAGGAAGAAGAAAAAGAAGAAGCCGAAGAAGATACGAATTTGTGTTGAGAGTTGTCTGATAATTCGGAGCCAATGAAAAACTCACTCGGGAACTTTAAATTTGCTAGTTATTTAATTAATTTTCTGTGTTAGTTTAAATGAGAGAGAGAGAGAGAGAGGAGAGTTTCAGTTTTAATAAAACTTTATATATCCGCAGATTCTAGTATTTTTTCATTTTATCTCTCCACCAAAGTTTTCCGAGAGTCTCTTCTTAAACAATCTCTAAAAATGCGATACAAATTTAATAATTTCAAATTTCGTATTCTCCGAAAGATTATCGCAAAAAAACTTTCGCGAAGATTCGCATGAAGTTTCTTCGAAAAGTGTCGTCGGTGCTCCCGGTTAAGGCCACCGCGCTCTTCGGGCCACGCTCGACGGTGCGATTTATTTTTTCAGAAGAAAAATTCCGGCTGGCGCGAGTTTATGTAAAAACGCGCCGTAAAAAAGCAAAAAGAAAACATCGGTACAAAATAGGAGAGGGGATAGGTAGGTCCCCGCTTTGATTTGCATCGTAAATAGCGGGCGGTGCATTTCTCGGGGAGAAAAGGGCCTCAAAAATCGGCGCCGGGCGGCGTTATGGTAGTGTCGTGCAAAAAAGTAGGAAAAAATGCACGTTTTTACCGGGCGCGTCAAGCGTGAGAAGGTGAAGGACGAGAGAAAGAGAGAGAAAGAGAGAGAGAGAGAGCGGGAGGGGAAGAGTGTTGAAAAAGAGAGGCAATAGGACGCATAAAAAACACCGACTACAAAATGCAAAGTCAGCGGCCGCTCTACGCCCGCGATGTGTGTGTGCGCGCGTATATGTGCGCGCGTCATGCATTTTTCCTTCTGTTACTCTCTTCGTTTTTTGTTCTTCTTTTTTTTTGTTTTTTTTTTTATTGTACGCGCTGGCTCATCCTTTGAACGCCGCGCGACACACATACACACGCATATATGCGCGCGCGCGCAGACACACACAGTTAGCGCGCGTCTCTCTCGCTCGCGGCCTTCGCTAGTGCTGCTCTACTTTGCTTGTGTATAGGTACGACGGACGCAGAAAAGGCGCACATTAAGCTCTCACATGGTGGTTCATAGTTTGCATAGCTTGGTTGACGTCGTGTTATGCTGCGCGCCGGTGTCCGTGCGCGTTTACAGCATCAAACACACGCCGCTGCGCTTGCAAGCTGCAGCAGCGCGCGCGCGCGCGCGGGGGGATCGATGGAACGCGCGCGCGTGGAAGATAGGTAAGATACTTTTTCTCCTTTTAGAAGGAGATGGCGCGCGGCAAAAAATTTGGCATCATCTTCCCCCGGGAGGATGAGTAAGAGCTTTCGAATGACGATCCAAGATAACAGCATCCGAGGGCAGCCGAGAGTAACGCGTGTGTATATATATGTATGTATATATATATATACATATATATACAGTTCGCTGCTCTCTCCGCTCGTGCGGGCCAATACCTCTACCTCCTCTCGTTTTTCGCCGCATCGATCCCGGCCCGCGGATAACACACATATATTGGGGGGTTTTGCGCCCAATAAGATCGGACATCGGCACGCGCGAGGATAATAATACGACGAATAATGTGAGCGAGAGAAGAATAACGGCGCAAAACGTGAGAAAAAGTGTATGTGTGAGAGATAGATAGATAGAGAGACGTGAAAAACCGAAACTATTGAGAGATAAACACGTGAAAATGCTTTCGGTGGAGAAGAACGAAGATGTTGTGAGACATAAAAAAAATAGAGTGACAGAAGGAATGCGGAAAATAAAAGAGTGGAGATGAAGAGTTGCGTACACAGAGAGAGAGAGAGATAGATAGATAGATAGAGAGAGAGACAGAGAGAGAGAGATCGAGTTCGAAATGAGAGCTGTGTGTAATGTGTGCGAATGACGTATGTGATGTAACACGTGATGTTGTCGACGTGTGTCACCGTAAAGAGTGAGAGAAAATTCGTCGCGAAATTTTCGCGTATTAGAAAATTCTTTTACCGCGCGTCTTATTAGTTTTAATCAATCTCCCCGAAAAAAATCGCTCCTCCTTTCTTGTCCGTGTAAGATTTCAAAGCCGACTTTTGCTCAAAGAGAAGCTTTAATCGAGGAATCTTTAGAATCTATAGAAGAGCTCGCGCATACACAAGGATTTAAGGCCAAAGGCGGGAGGTAATAACAAAATCTAATCGTCTACCAAGTTTAATTAAATGCGCGCACGCGCGGTTCCTCGCCGAAAATCGGTATGTACTTACGTCGTTTACGGTGACACGGTCGTATGTGATCGCGCGGTGATTCGAAATATATATGAATGTATAAAGAACAGAGATAGAGAGATAAAAGAGGCAAAAAGTATAGAAAAAGTGGCGGCGGCGAATTACCTTGAAGGACTGCACAGAGAAACCGGAAACCAGGGTGTCGGTCCGTAACATAAGAAGCGAACAGAAAACAGAAAAAAGGTAAACTTGTAATTAGGTCGTTCGCTGTAAGAGACAACTGTAAGCATGTCGTTTCCTGCCGAGAAAGAAAGACAGGGAGGCTGTGAGAACCGGAGAAGGAGGACGGGTTGGAGAGATGGTTTCAAGTGGACGGAAGAAGTCTTTCGTGTCTTTTCGATGTCGATCGATGTTACATATCCAACGTGTTGTGCTAGAGAAACGGGGGTGCTCTGGCTGGGAACAACATTACGCTACAGGATGTCACACGAAGAGTGTCGTACTTTTAAACTAGAAAAAAAAAAAAAAAAAAAAAAAAACAAAGAAATTACAAGCTACAGTCCGGGTGTTATATTTTCAAAATACTCTCAACAACGTCAGCGCATCAAATNAAATTACAAGCTACAGTCCGGGTGTTATATTTTCAAAATACTCTCAACAACGTCAGCGCATCAAATTGCCAATCTTCTAATGTAATTACATCGACTTTACAATATGATCATCCTGTAAAGGTAGAGAAGTGTATAAGTAGTTTCTATATATACAAAGCGGCGTATATCTCCGCCGCGACCTCGTACAATCGAGAGAAAGAGAGAGAGAGAGAGAAACGCTGCAGCGAGTAAAACGTGTTTAATCTTTCGCCGCGAATTCACAACTCCAATTAAAATGCTCATAATGATATGTAATTATATTAGATTCTAGAGAGAGAGAGAGAGAGAGAGAGAGAGAAACTGAGAGAGGTAACTCCTGGCTGAAAATTCACTCGAAGTTTCGTCCCCTCAGTCGTAACACAGCCATTTGCGACTAGAATTAGACAGAGAGAACCGAGGTAATCCCCCAGACACACGGTGGCTCGACAACATGAATTTCAACAATTGAGTTTTATTATTAGCGCGCGACCCTATCCCAGTGTCTAACTTATTATTGAAACGTCCTAGTAGTAGCCAATTTGCCCTCTCATTCTTTCTCTCTCTCTCGGCGCTGCAGTTTCGCCGCGCGCGCTGTATGACGCGCGCAAATATTTATCGCGCAATTTCTCTCGGTTAATACGAGGCCGCAAGTACCGGCGTAATTTTCGGAACACGCGCGTCAGACACCGTCGTTACCGTAACACTCGGTGACGATTATGTCATACGATTCAGTCCCTCCCCTCCCTTCGAACACGCGTTCCGGGATAAACAACCGGAACACGATAAACTCGTTCGCTAATTAGCGATTGTCCGAGCTTAATTACGCCAATACGACAACGTCGTCGCATATTTCCACAGGCCGCGGCATTTGCAACTTCCCCTCTCGCCCTCCTTCCCTCCCCCCCTCATCCGCGGACGTTTGCTCTCGATGAAAGCGCGACGGCAGAAAATGTGTCACGCGCAATGTATGCAGTTAATTAGAGGGCTCCGAGCGAGCGTGTCTATTTGCGAACTGCCGATTTTTTCGCGCGTTGCGAAAGGGAGTTTTTTTTTCAATCTTCGCAGCGCGCGAATTGATTAATCAATTCCTTTCGCGTGTGAACGAAACACAACGCAGACACGGAGGGAGGGACGAGTACGTCGCGTAACCTGTGGAATATGAGACGCGCGAGTGAAGGAAGAGAGAGCAGAGTATATCGAGTATGTATTATAGTATATATACTGTATAAGGGTGCGATCTCTCTGCGCAGATGGTTGAGTACCAATCGTAAGACACATCTTCGGGATTCTTTACGACTCTCCGTAAAATCATATCGCCGCGCGTTATTCGCGCCGACTCGCTGCTGCGGCAAGATACGCAGATGTGGTTTATACGTTATTTGCGCATATCGCCGATGAAAAAGACGAGCTTCTGGTCTTTTCGCTCGGGGAAATAAGACCTCCCATATATGATAGCGGAGGTTAAGCTCGACGTTCGACTTCCGATGTTCCAATTCGTTCAACCTGTTGTTGGCTCAACCGGTGTGTTTTGTTTAAGTTACCCAAATGTAATCGAGTAATAAATAAATATTTCAATATTTTGATTTGTGTTCAACATAATACGAGTCAGAATTGAGTCCGATGATTATTCGAAGCCCCATCCTCCTTCAAGAGTCGAAATCATTTCGAATCTTCGTCAAACGCGCGCGCGATAATATTTAAAGCGCGCGAGAGGGGGAACGAGTTCGCTGGGGGCGACAACGGCACGTCGATTTCTAATTTCTGCCGAAGACAGAATTCGCGCCAGCCGTCACGTCGGAAAGAGAGGAAGGGGGCGGTCCGCAAAATTTCGCGCTCGAGTGGCGGCGGCTGTCTATTTTCGTCGCGATGAACCGATAATTAATTACCAGAGAGAGGGACCGGAGGAAAATGCGAAAATGTCAACCGGTTCGCCTCGATTGTCATATGGTCCGTGCGCGCGCGCGCGTTAGACACGTTCTCTCGGCGGCGCGCATCTCGTGTGTCAGATGCACCGCACGCTGCATATAATATGCGCCGCCACACAGAGCGATGTCCCGGTTTAACTTTTCAAGGGAATTACGCGTGAAACGCGCGCGCCGCCGGTGTTATATATCCTCCATTTGAAACGACGCGTGGAAGGGGAGACGGGAGGGGAGGAGGGAGAGGGAGATGCGTACGCGTTCGCTACTCTCTCGACGCAATTCCCACGCACGCGGGTATAAATCCCGGTGTTCAAGGGAGCGACGCCTGGATCAAAGTGAAATCCCCGTGTACGGGAGTCGAAAATTTCAAAGAGACAGAGAGCGAAACGCATATCCGCGTCTAACGATTCAAGAAACTCATATATAGCGCGCAATTATTTCGAATGAGTTGTTTCGAGCTGCTTGTATAATTCGTAAGCTACTAGCGAAATTAACTTTATTGTTAAATAATACTTATACATCAACATAATCTCTCGCTTTTCAATGCGATGTCACGCGCGTTTCATTAACAGATGAAACGCGCTGATATTTCGTTATTTTCTATGCCGAGAGCGGTTAATTAGCGGATATTCGAAGCGTCGCTTGTCGCCACAATTCTCGCGATATTGGTCGTTCGGCCGTCGTTTTTGGCTTTCTAACCCCCTCCTCCCTTTCCCCTTCGTCCTCCCCCCGTCCCCTCGTGTCGCAAAATGGCATTGAACGAGGCAGAGAGACACGATGGTCGCCGATGTGTGTATTCGATGTAATTCGATTTTCGCGAGCACGCGAGGTCGGATTAAACAATAATACGGCGGGGAAGTATCGTGCGCGCTCGTGCCGTGACGCGTTGCGCGCGACGATTTTTGTGTGTTATTTTTTCTAGCGATCTCTCACATCGTCCATCGTGGATACGACGGTCACGTCAAAAGTAAAAAAATCGATGGCCCTTGTTGACCGCGTCAAAATACCATCCCTCGCATTTTCGGACACAAATATTTTGCCATTTTTTTCCTTCCCTTCCCTCCTCCCCCCACCGTTTTTTCCTACCCTTCTCCCGAACACATAAAAAACGTAAAACATTTTCGACACCGCGCGGAATCAATATTTTCCTCGTTCTCGCGCTGTAACATGATTTTTGCTCACTTTGATTCAAGAGAGTCGCGCGTGTTTTTTTTCCCGCGCTATAACAATCACCTCCCCCACCCCGTACGTATATATATATACACATATAAAATTTCCAGTATCGGATGAGCGAGAGTGTCGACAAAATAACGCACACAAAAAAAACCGATATAACGAGCGAAGAAAAACAAAATAGCGCGCGGCACTTAATCGCGGCACGCAGGCGCGCGTTTTAATCCGCGCGATACGTCGAAAATCAAATAATAACGACGCAGCGGCGAGAGAGGTGGGGAGAGGAGGACGGGGGCGCGAGAATCGTTACGTTCGTATCCTGACTGTCATCGGGTTCCCGATCAATTTTCCATTACTTTCCCTTTTCCCCGTCGATAACGCTTTGCGGTCTATTTCGGACCGATCGCCGCTTTATATAATCCGCGCGAATCTCCCTTCGCGCGCGCGTCGAGATGCATTGTTCGAATTTTTCACCGCTCATATATTCGTTAAACGCGTCGCGCATTTTCGCGCGCGGACCTATTAACTTCTCGTTAATCGCCAAGACTCGTTATGCGAATTTACGCGCGTTCTCGCACTATTGAGCGCGGCGCGCTTATTATCCGCCCAATTTTTTTTTTTTTTTCATTTGCGAGAGAGAAACGAATGTTTTGGCTAAGTAAAATTACTCTCGCATTCCCGAGAGATTAGAAAAATAATTCCGCGACCTCTCTCTCCCGGCCGCCGTTTATTCGCGCGGAAAACGTCGCGTATAAATTCCGCGGCATTGTTGCGCGTGCGTTTTACGATCCTCAGACGGTCGGGAGATGTTGCCGGATAATTAATTCGGTTTTATTACATCGGAAAGCTTTACGATCTCCTGGCGTTATTATTATTTCTCCCCGCGCATTTTTGTTGCGCTCTCGTTATCGCATTTATCGCTCGTTATCGTTATATATCGTTTATTCGCCCTGGTTTTTATTTTATTTTCCCGCCAGAAGAAAGGATGAACGTTCGCAATTTTTTCCGTTTTTTTTGTTCTTAATTCGAAAGAAAAGTTACGTGTGTGTTTAGACGCGCGAAGATTAGGAGGAAAAGGAAATAAAACAATCCATCCTCTCGAGACTTCGAAAAACTTGGGATTCGAAGGAGACGTCAGCGCGCGCGGAATAATCTCCTCCGCGACGCCTCCTCCTTGTCGCACGTGCGTTATTCGATCTCAAAAGGGATATGAGATCGCGCGGACGAGGACTGCCGAAAAATCGCGCGAGTACACGTCCGTTTCAGCGAAATTTTCTCGCGATCGTGCTGAGACTGCAACTTTCCGGAAAAATTTATACGTGGCAAGTGACCGTTCGCGGGAAAAGCGGGCTGCGACGCACGTGTGTTTTCCCCCCCGTCGTCGAATCGTTATATTATTCGCGCGGAACGGAAGCCGCGCGATTGTCTCGGTCGAATTTTGCGGGAGACC